AGTTGACTTATAGTCAAATTCGGAAGGTACTGGGTTAAAATTGTAATTCAAAAGATTTGTTCATTTATGTGAAGATGAAGAATTCGCCTTTTATTTTAACATGTGTATGGACCTAGAGACCGGTCTTGGTTTGTCTAATACAACAGACACTGTCATTTATGTTAATGAACGTCCCGAACACAGACTAATCGATCGATCATGGCACAGTTAGCTTTGGAGTTCAATTATATCTGCCCTCACTAACTGATAGGACGTGAGTAAATCAAAGAATTCCGTAGTCAGTGTACATTAATCGTTATTTTTACGAAATCCATAAACTTGCTAATCCCGATTGCAGATCGGATACTTGATCATTATTTGGTTTGAAATTGACTGTACTATCAGTGCGGTGCTTATTTTTGAACTACCGTTACGCCGACGTCTAACTGACAAGTTATTGACCTATTACTCGCACTATCGAGTACGCTAACAAAATCCTGATGAAGATGTTCACTTACATCATTGCATTTCTCATTCAATGTAGTGAACGTAATACACTACATATAAGTTTGATTACTGTGGACTGAAAAGCTGGGAACGTTGAGCTGAAAGGTCAGGGATTCAAAATGGTGACCTACTATGCATGTGAAGCTTTCCAGTTAAAGGCGATCAACTTCATAACTCATTGCCTAACTCTCTGTTCATGGGTAATTCGGCTGAAGTGTTATGCCTGAAGCCATCGTAACACCTGTTTCTAATGCCTTCCTCATAATATACTCTCACATGTTGCTGCGAGTATTGGTTCGAACTTATCTTTATATTTGGCATTCAGTGTGCAAATGTTTTTTCCTCACTCAAGTAATTATCCCTAAAGCCTATAACTTTATGCCAATGGACAGTTAAACAAATTTCGTTGTGCTAAGTACTGTGATAGGAACTAATAAACATGCTCGTTTTTTCAACCGTGAAATTGTGTGAACTACTAAATTTATCTCAGTGAGTGTTGCTTCGTTTCATTTATTATAACTTGCTTACTAATAAGGTAAACTGGTTTCAAAATAGACGTGTTTGCTGACGGCTTTCATACTGTTGCCTTTGAGCACCTCCATGTTTTTCCCGGCGATTTCTTAATATTTAATGTGGACAATCTTATTGCCTTTGATGGACGAACTATCTTTTTTCTGCCATGTCAGATTTCAGGCACACCATGCCCAATGTTTCGTGAACGATAAATACCGGTTATCTTTTAACAGACAATTACTATTGGATAATTTCGACTGTCATTCTATTTTGAAGGCCTCAAGTCATCATTGACTGTGAGTCAATTGGATGCACACTGAAGCAGCGGCGATGTCATATTGAAAACTCTGAAAGATTAAGAACTATGCTTGTTATTTGTTTACTTTGCTTATTTACGTGACGCCAGTAAATTCTCATTTGATGTCAGCTGTCCACAAATGATGTTATAAATATGTGAATTCCCTATATCAGGAGACTGTCAAATGAATTAACGAGTAATCAAAAGAATTCCATTTCATCTTCGCCAACATAAAACCAGACTCTCCCAAATAAAAATCAAATCCAGGAAACAAGGAAGATAGAACAGTTAAATTGTGTCAGTTACCTGTTACATACACAACCATCTAACACTTCTAATCTTGTTGGGCACACATGCACCTGAAAAAAACCCAACTTGAATTCAGCAAACTACCTACATTGTCGTAGATATTTTGGGGGTACACTTCTGGACGTCTTTTTGCAAAAAAATTCGCTAGTTGTATTCCATAACGCAAATCTGTTGACGGCAACAGAACAGCATTCATCCTAGATACCTCCGACTGTGTATGTACGACGAGTATTTAAACTCGTGTAAAACATGAACCTTGGCATGATTTTAAAAAGATGCGTCGTCGTACCCAAATATGTTAGTATTCAATGTTAATGTCTAAATGAAAAATCTTTTACTGAGGCAATGAAAAGACATAAATCATGTGATGCTCTTCGAAGGGACATTCCGTACATTCTGATCATCCACGGATGTGTAACCAATTTTATACAATGAGGTAAGTTTCCATAGAACAGAAATTATGCCTTAGGGTATTAAACAGACAGACACGGAAGTGAAGGTCAAAAATATGGAGATACTGACTACCACGTCAGCCACAACGTCAACACAAATTTATTTCGAACACGCAGGGGGATTTTGATGGCTGATAGCTAAAGTCTGGGCAAATTGAGGGGCGTGTTTCCAGTGGCTTCGAAAAATCACAGAGAATGCGTTACAAACATTGAATGTGTGTCCTTTTTGGATTAAGTGCTTTGCTGTTGATGACGCTGATTACCGTCCGTCGGCCTCTATGCGCGCGCCTGGCCTTCCTAGTTGTGTTTCCAGCAACTTGGGAACATGCTCCTTCATTCGAGAAGCTAGCTGTCGGTTTGTCCACCCCACGTAACTCATACTGCAACTACACGAGTGTTTTTATAAACAGTGGGATGTGACAGACGTAGGCTGTTTGTTCGTAACCGAGGAGACTGGTAAGGCCTTGGTTAGCTGTATTATATATAGTTTTACAGCGTTATGGGATCTGGATGCAACGGTCGTTAGACGTCTTTTTGTCACTGCTGACCAACGGTCACCTAGAAACGGGAGTTTTAAGTATATCTTCTTTGGTACTGTTGTTTACCGTATCCTTGGGGGTAATGACATTGCTATATTTGTTGATACTTTGCAAGGGGTACCCGTTGACCTGTAGTGTGTCTGTATGCTTAACTGTTGTGGTAGATTATCATCCGTGCATCGCCTCTTCGCTCTATGAAACAGTGTTTGAACTAGGCTGTTCTTATATTGAACTGGACAGAAGCTGTCAAACTGAACATACCGTCCTGTCAAGGTAGGTTTTCTGTAAATGGATCTTTCTATCAGGTCATCTGATCTTCGGATACCTAGAGTGTCCAGGAACGGAGGGCAGTTGTTTACTTCATTCTCTTTAGTCAGCTTGAGGTTGGGATGTGCGTGATTCAATTTCAAAAATACTGAATTCTCAGAAGTGGTCAGGATGTTATCTATGCGACGTTTGTGCAGTATTGACTTCGGCAAACTTTCACATACTGTAGATTCCATCCTAGCCATGAAGAACTCAGCTGGGACTGGACCAAGGGTACTGCCCATTGCGATCCCGCCCACTTGCCAGAAAGTAAACGTTTGGTAGTTGAATTATGCATCATATGTGCACAAAGGGTAATATTGATTTCAATTCGGACATGGGACTAGGAAAAGGAGAATTGCTGCTAAGAATAAAACTGTAAATGTTATCAACATTACATGCAGCGGAATATTAGTGAAAAGGGAGGTCACATCGAATGAACACATCAATTTGTTCCAAAGATCCAAACCGTCTACACAACTTACAATTTCAAGACTGCCTTTTAGACTGTACTTACTAGAACGTTTTCTAACCGGTTCAAGCAGATCAGCTAGCCAACCGGCTAACTTATGCTGCGGTGCATTGCACATTGACGCAATGGACCAGTGACATAATGGAACATTGGATTTGTAATTTTTGGGCAATCCATATATGTGCGGCGTTCTTGTGCCAGTCGGTTTCAACGACTTGCATTAGTCTACAGAAATTATGCCATTTGTCCTCAGATTTCCCTTTCAATTTCTTGAACTCTCTCGGGAGTGTTGTCCAGCAGAAACATCTGTCACCAAAAATTTCAAGCAGTTTCTTTATATATTCCGTTTTATTCATCAGTACAACTCCTGAGCCTTTGTACGGACGTAACACCGTTGAATTCTAGTTTTGTCTTAGTTCCTCCAAGCTATGGAAGTGTGCCAGCGTTGACATACCGTAAAGCTTCTGTTTGTAGTTATGGTTTTGATAGGCGACTTCTACTAATTTTGCCTTCAGTCAATTTTTCTTTTCTTCAGACGTCGGTGGATGTTGCTGAAGTTGATCGCAATGATTTTTGGGCTGGGCATGCGATCCGAGATTTTCTTTGGTGATATGAAAAACTTCAATCCAATGGGGAGTGCTTCCATTTGAGTCCGAGTTAGGGTTTCTGACGACAGATTAGTAACATATCTATCCAACTCTTCCGGAAATAAGTAGTATTTGAAACTGGACAGAATGAATCATCCAGCAATCTTGTCACGTGCGCTTTTATACGTTGTACAACAGTACTGTAAAAATTTAGATACTTGATCCAACAACCAATTGGCAAATCATTCACAATAGGCCACAACTTTTCGTGAATCTCTTCGAGCGTCCCCAGCTTCTGTTGGCAAAGTTCAACGTGGGATTAAGTTATTCGCTTTAGGTTGGAATTATTAGGCTGCAGTCTACATGATTTGAGTTAAGGTTTGTGACGTATTCTCTGTGGTTTTTCGAAGCTACCGGAAACGCATCCTCTAGCTTGCTGAGGCTGTCAGACGTCAAAATCTGTCTCTGTGTGTTCAGAAACAATTTGTGCTGATGTGGCAGCCAGCATCCTCATATTTTTGACAAAAGTGGCCGAATGCACTACAGTAGTATGTTAGTAGTTGTCATCTTTTAGGAATCACTCGCATTCAGGTCATATCAATTTAACGTATTTTTGGAAGCGAGTAAATTTAATTTTACAACTTTGCGCTACTATTGGTCCATAGTAACATGTGTAGTACCAATATAAAAGTAACCATTGCGAAGCAATAATCCAATTACTAAATAAATCGCGAAACTTCTGGTTTGGCTGTTCTGTGATAAATATTGGTAAGAATTTTCAAAATGTCGAATGACACGATACCTGTGGATGTTTGACCGGCGTTTTGCAATTACACTTTTATACAGCACTATCGATATAACATTCTTAAATATGAAAGAAACCTGATGAACACATGAAAGATATTTCCTTCCTGAGCTTACAAGAAAGTGAAAATAGACAAAGAATCATCATTTAAGAGGAGATCCATTTGAGAAAAATCTGGACTTCAGCTGGGTGGGTAACTAGGTCCAAATGTGAAATTTTTGAGCTTCCGGCGTGGCTTCGTAGCTCAGCTGGTAGAGCGCTCACCGTGTTTGGCATGTTGTTTCTTTCGCTGGTTCGAATCCAGCCGAAGCCCAGAATTTTCGCAATTGGATCTCTTCTAAATTATCAAATCTGTCAAACTACTTATCAGCAATTCATTTACCATTTTGCCAGTAATATGATTAGACGGTAACATGTGCACATGACGCAGGATAAATTCTTTTAAGCGAAGGCGATTATGTTACACACTCATCTAAGGATCGTTAAACGACATCTAACAGCATATATTTACTTGGGAAAACAGAAGTTCGATTTGATTTTGGTGACTGATTTCTTTTATAATGCAGCTGAGTAATTTGGGATCAACCTGCGGTTCGGTTTAGGTCCAAGGTCATCTGTGGTGACTCTCATGATAGAACAAATGAGTTTATGGTTTTAAAGTGAACTTAGTTAGAACACGATAAGCAATCGTTCGCCACTAGTTAATAATCAGAATGACAATAAATACCAACAACCACTGATGCCTTTATTAAGAACTTGGATAAGTGTTGATGTGCGTTGTGATTCCGGGAGATAATGGTCTACGAAATGTTTCATAGATGGCAAGCTTCCTTGACTGATCCTCAGATCTAGCTGACGCTAGGTTCGGAATTGCAGTGTACTGACATTAATGTGAAGCGGTTCTACGCTACTGGAATGAGTAGCACTAAAAAGTTCTGAGAATGCTTTCGTTTTCACCTTGTAGGAGCTTTATGATTTTTCTATCTGATCCGCTTCTACTTGATTGTAACGACAGTTTTCCTCAGTTTCATATTCCGTTTATTCTACTGACGTTCTGAAAAATTCACTGAGCTTCTTTACTGGCCTAATGCAATCTTCTCATCATTTGATACACTGAAAAAAAATTGGTCTTATTTTTTTTGTTTTGCCATTATAGGGTCGTCGGAACTATGAGTAGTGATCGAATTCTTTTAAACATTCCAACATAACTGTATGCCGTAAACTGGCACATTTGTCCCATTATTACAGATTTTTACTCTGGATATAATGCTGACAATTTATGATTGAAGTCTAAAGTTTCATCCTACTTTAGTGACCTCACGTGTACTTTCCATTGGTTACATATGTCGACATCAATTTTTCCACTGTGTTTCACAAAATATTTCAAACACCTTACAGACCCATACATCGTTTATCTATCGGTTGTGATAATTCGCTTTTTAATATTTTGACTGTTTCCTCGTAGGTAGTTCGTCTTCAAGTGTTTGCCTGTTTTCAAATATAAGTTTTCAACCGAATTTTGATGAGTTTATTGCAGTATAAGCAAGAACTACTATGGATACCCGAACCTCTACCAATAAGTCTTCGGTTATTCCCTTCACTGGACGAGCTCGTGTCATTTACAAAAGATTGAATACTGAAATAAACTGGGGTTGAATGCTAGAAACTTCAATTTTATTTACTGTTTAAAGCGGATCTCAAATTATATCACGGAAATGAGTACTTCATGACCGATTTCTCCTTCACTTTTTCCCTGAAAGCAAAAGCGCGTGATAATGGCCTTTCGACTGGTGGAGGTTTTGACCATTGACTAGTACTGTTGCCTACTCGGAGAATGTTCCAGCTATCTTCACTTCATATATCTAGTAGAGGTCTAAACCGAACGTGAGTTGTCCTTTACGAGCCCTCGTGAACTTATCTAGTGCAGACAAAACATGGAGAACCGTGACCATGCACATCAACAGAGAGTCGACATGTTGCACTGCAAATTAAAAAGAGTAAAGAACCCATATTTACGGCTCAAAAGAAGTATGTTTTCCTATTCTTGCTAATCGGAAATGATTATTTATCCAAAGATTTAAAGCAAAATCTAAAGTCTGTTCTGGCTCATAAGTGCGACTGAGCCTTTGCGCTTAGTTCACACCATTAGCGGACAAGTTATCTGCAGTCGCGAAAGTAGTTTGTCAAACTGTTCTGTTTTCCATTTTATGTACCAGTTCACTTGCAGTTACAGTGACGTTTACAAGGGCAGAACACACCGACAACTAGCAAGACGAATCACCGGACACATCCTAAAATGTTTGAAACAGCTGATGACATACCAACCTTAACTGACCTAAACTGTTTAACTGACTGCTCGAAATCCAGCGGCATCGATTGCTAAACAGTTCATGATAACAGGGCACCAAGTTGGTCCAATAAACTCATTCAAGACATCGTTGCGCAATCGAAATCCAAGGTTTCTGACTTTCTGTGAAGCGATGCTTACCTGAACTTACCAGCCGACGTTATATGAACCAAACTGATTGAGACAACCTGTTGGGTTGGCATAGTCGCGGTTACATAATATTTGGTGAGTTTGTAGGCGTGGTTAGTCCCTGTTTGTCTTTATCTGTATGATGTACATAATTGACATGTTTGATGTTTTTAACTGAGGAGAGTAAACCAAATGTTAGCAAATCGCAATATATGTTTGCTTTCTACTCTGACGAAGTTAAAGACCGTTTATTCGAAATACGAAAAATATGAAGCACGTTTTGGTGGAAGAATCATATTTTCCCAATGCCAGCCAATTCTTCAACGAAACTTTTAAATTTTACCAGATTAAACATTTCCAACCATTCTCAAATGATTTGCAATGCAGCATGATGGAAACAGAGGTCAAGAAAGCGCACAGTCTTTGAAAGGTTATTTATGAACCTTAAACATATTTCCGTTTATTTTTTATTTGGTTCGTGCAATGTTTAAGAATATCAATCATGTTTACTGATGAGTAACAAAGGATTTTGGCTTTATATAAATTGACCATCATTAGCAACTGATTGCTGTTGCCGTAGTCCCGTAGATTTTTGACTTGGTCCCTTTCGAAAAGATGCAATGAGCTCGGGTTTCGCTATTATTAGAGCTCGATCACACTTTTGTGAGGCAACAGTGTTGATCACTACTCGACTGATTTCACAATTGTAACCACCAAATCATATGTGAACGCTCAAGTACATTAGCTCCTGGGTAGTGCTCAGATTGCCTGATGAGAAACACCTGCATGTGCGAAGGAATAGATTCACGTCAATGTGTCCAGAGGTTACACAGGAGATGTGTAATGATTTGGACTTCTCATTCAAGCTTACTTTTAAAAATTAGTGAGCATACCTAGCAGTATACTATGGTACCCATGCGAGTAAATTAACGATTACTATACCACGTGGATGGTGCTCATGGACTTTTCCGTACTTGGACAAGATATGCTCTGTAGATGACAAGTTTGAGTTCATTGTACACTTTTGCTTTTACAATATGTATTTGATAAGATGCAGCGATGTCAGCCCAAAAATGTTGATGTAATCTTTCAATACTAGCTAGTCGTTTTATCTTAAATGTAAGAAAACTTATTCTAGCTATTCCAAATGTATTCCTACCGAAACAGTGGTTAGGCGTCTATATAAAATTGACATATTCAAGTGTAACATTGCGAATAAAATTGTTCAGATTGTTTTTTTAATCAGAAGTGTATCGGCTAGTTAATAATCTAATTGTTTTTACGAAATTAGTTGCGTGAAAAAATTAGGACGGTTAGCCAAATGTCTTGTTAACACCTCTTGTTATGCATTACTTATTGCGACTATGGCGATTTGATAGTTAAGCCTGTGGACTAAACTTCTATGATCGCATCTAATTGATACACTGCTGCCGCGACGATAAGTGAAATAAAATTTATTTATTATGTAAACAGTTTGACAACTATTCAGTGCGGATAACAACCTTTTTGATCGTTGTCAGAATCTTTCGAA